CATTACTATTTTTTAATAAATTAGAAAACAAACACACCATTTGAGTTTGTAAAAGCTGCGTTTCAGAGAAAAAAATAGCATTAGAACATCACTGTGCACAAACACTCAGCTTGCTGAGCAGTTTTCACGCGTTTTTGCACATATGCAAATGCGAAAACGCATATTGCGACGATCCCGGTGTGTGTGTGTGTGTGTGTGTCTGTCCGGGTATTTCAACTCGGCCCCCAAGCAAGCTCCGGCGCCAAAATTTCGCCGGCGGGTTCCCCAGCCAAGTACCACCCCAGGACCGCGGTACCAACTCTCACACACGTCCAGACCCCGCGTATGGGCACATGAAAAATTTGGCGGGAAAATCGCTAACTCAGAAACCAGAGAAGTTGGAAAGCTGATATTTTAAGATTATGTTTCCCGTCCATTTGGAACTCAAAGATTTCAAGTTCAGCCCCCAGGTGTGCGTAGTGCCCGCGTATGGCCCTGTGAGGGTTTCCGTCGCGAAAATCGTTAACTTGAAAACCAGGAAAGTTGGGAGGCTGAATTTTTCAGGGAATATTCCCACCACATGTACAAATTAATGTCATCGAATCCAGCTCCCAGGCCTACGTGGTTATCACGTACGGCCCCTTAAAATTTTTGGCGGAAAATGGCTAACACGAGAAGTAGGAAAGCACGGAGCTAAAATTTTAAGGGTATGTTCCCAGCCCCCGTAAGTTAAAGATATCAAATTCAGCTCCCAGATACGTGTGGTTCTCATGTACGAACCAATGAAATCTTTTGGCAGGAAAATTGCTAACTCTAGGACTGGAGAAGTTGGAAAGCTGAAATTTTAGCGAATGTTCCGTGTCCGAGTACCGCGCAAACAATTAACTTCCCGAACTTCGAGAGCCAGTATGTCGCAAAATCCTAGCTACCAGGTCCTCGAGCAATCTTATTGCAGCACGAAATACTGCAAAAACACATGATCGCACGGGCATGCCCATTGGCGACGCGCACCGGGCATGCCCGGTGCGCGTCGCCAATGATTAATTTCATTCTTAATTCCGATATATATATATATATACATACATATATATATATATACAGTCATATATACAGTTTTGTAGGTATAGTATTGCAGCTCTGTATATGTAATACCTAATACAGTGTTTTAAATATATGATACAGTTTTTACTCAACCAGGTCTGATGCCAGTGAGATGAAAGCCAAAAAAAGAAACTAATAATTTAGACGAGCTGGAAAGATATTTGAAACTAACAAATGCCAGATTCATAGTGGTTTCATCCGACAATTATCAAACGGCCTCAAATTTTGCTGAACAGTGCGAGGTTGCCATTTTCTGATAAGCTTTCTTTTTCGCTGCGATTTTTTTCCATAAACGTAGAATTTTCAAGACATTTTGCCTGCTCATTTGTAGTCGCACGGCCGGCCAAAGCATGTTCCAGTTTAGTACTTCTTGTTTAGTACTTAAGTATTTAGCACTTCTTGCTTAGTATTTAAGCATTGTCTTAATTTGGTGCTTAATTTAGTACTTCTCAGCAACAGAAAGCGAATACATAAACTGTTAGCAGATCGACTGGCGGGATGAAAATTCGGCCAAAATTGCAGTAAAAAGCATGCCAGGTGTATCGATGGCACAAATGCACGTTTTGTAGAACATCAACTCATCT